TCTGTGGCCCAGGCTGGCTGTGAATCCAGTTATCCTCCTGCCTCAGCTTCTTGACTGCTGGAATTTTGTCTCTGAAAAAGAGATGCAAGCAGCTCTACTTTCCCACTGGGTACAGAACAACTTCAAGGACACATAACACTTTCAGAAGCCCAGGAAAAAGTTTCTATTCTAACAATGTCAATCAGAAAAACTGTTCATGTTTTTTAAAAAATATTTTTATTTATTTATTATGTATACAGTGATCTGCCTACATGTTTGCCTACAGGCTAGAAGGCATCAGATCTCATTACAGATGGTTGTGAGCCACCATGTGGTTGCTGGGAATTGAACTCAGGACCTCTGGAAGAGCAGCCAATGCTCTTAGCCTCTGAGCCATTTCTCCAGCCTGGTTTTTGGTTTTTAGAGACAGAGTTTCTCTGTGCAACAGCCCTAGTTGTTCTGGAACTCGCTTTGTAGACCAGGCCGACCTCAAACTCAAGGGATTCACCTGCCTCTGTCTCCAAAGTACTGGGATTGAAGGAATGCACCACCACTGCCCAATGTTCTTGTTTTTAAGGAAGAAGGGGGCATGAAGGCAAAAGTGCTGAACCCAAGACTATCCTTAGGGGCCCTTCCACAGAGGAAGTCCTGTGACTTCACAGAGTAGAGTAGGTCCCTAGAAGTGGAACTACAAAGATGTTTACTAGATACACATGGAACTCAGAGAGCCCCTACCCACCAGGAAGGCTGGTGTTCAGTATCTGCCACTATGGAAAGCCACCTGTACTCTCTGCCCCTCTGCCAGGGATGTGATCCGAATCACCTTCATGAGCACCTCCTTCAGAAACTCCTGCGTTGCTCTGAACATGCACCGGCAGGCAGTTCCCATTTTCATCACTGACGTGCTACTAGAAGGAAACATGGCCAACATCCTAGGTGACAGTGGGGACACAGGACAGTAGAGACACAGTGGGAGCTACTGTGGCCTTGCCATTAGTTTTAGAGGTTTGGTGTCTCTGTGCCCCACTCCCACCCCACTCACTGGACATATCCCCTGTATAGTTAAGACCTGTCACTACCCATATTCTCCAGAGTCCTATGCCCTCTGGCTTCATGCCCTAGATACCCAGTGTCTTCCTGTCTTAGGCTGTGTGCTTCCTATGTGCCAGAATGCATGACAGCTGGCACTATGGCTCAGAGATAGGATCCCACAGACTTGGATTTGATTTTTTGGTTAAGTCCCCGGGTCTGAGCAAACCTTCTCTGAAAAGTGAGGATAGGAGTGCTGCCTCATAGCCTGGCTGACGCAAGGCTAGGGGCAGCACCCCCATGGCTTGGCCCTCAGTAGGATTTCTTATATCCTCTTGTTCTTGCAGATGTCATGCAGACCTTCTCCAACCGACCAGAGGTCCAGCTCAGGGCCCTTAACAAGCTTCTGAAAATGACAGAGGAAGAGCTAGGTAAAGGTCCTGCCCCTTTCCCAGAAGCTCCTGGGAAAGACTGGGAGGTGAAAATGGAGCAGTGTAGAGGGAGATGGGAACTGACAGCCTTTCATTACAGGCTCTTTGGGCAGTGCTGCTAACTAGAATTCTTCCTGATCCCATGATTACTAGCAGAGGACAGTAGAAGAGAGGCTGGCTTCACTGAATGATTTCAACAGGTCAACAGGAAATCCATCTAGCATTAGGGAGGCTGAAGCAAGAGGACTGATACCTGGACAGCTTGATCTATAGGGAGACAAGGCCTTATTTTATTTTTTTTAAAAAAAGATGAACCACTTTTAGGGGGTTGTAGTGGTACCAGAGACTGAGACTTATATAATTCTAGTTAACTGCTTCATTGCTGAACTACCTCCCCAGCTCTTTGGGGTTTTTATTGTTGTTGTTTTTAAAGTTAAGAAAGGGTCTTAGTAAGTTGCCCATGCTGATCTCGAACTCACTGTATAGTTCAAAAAGCCCTTGAACTTGTGATCCTTCTGCCTCTGCCTCTAGAGTTCCTACAATTCTAAGTGTGCACCATCACACCTGGTTGAAGAGACTCATCCATCTGTCCCACCATCTCTCTATACTATAATGGGTATCTGAGTTGCTTATTTTCCACTTTTATGAATAGCACTACGATTGATCATCTGCCATACTGGCCACTTGACATGTGGCCATGGGTGCTTGTCAGATGTACCCCTGGTATCAGAGTTAAGTGCTTCATTCCATCCTCCCTAAGCATGCCAACTTGCCTTCCTACCGGAGTGCTTGAGAACAGCTCTTTCCCAGCATTACCTCTGATGGGTATTAAGCTTCTTGGGAGTTTAAATGTCTGCAGACATGCTCTGCTGTCTCTCCTGCTCAAATATCATACTTGTATGCTATCCATAACCCTTCCCTCCAGCTAGTTCATCACTCCCTCCCTTCTTCTATCCTTTTCTTTTCACAATCTTCCATCTGTTTATCCACCCATCTTATCCATTCCTCCATCTACCTACCTCTCTACCTGTCCATTCACAAAATACATCCAAAGGACAATAAAGATCTATTCTGTTGGTTAGGACAGTGGAGGTCACATGGAGGCTGAGGTGTGACTCCTAATGAGTTAATAGACCCCTCATATTGGCCATTACTCTCCCAAAGTCCCTTTTACAACTAAACCATGACCAAGATAAAGCCCGGGACAAGGTAGATCTTGCCCAACAGTGGGCCTCACCAACCACCTTGGAGCTGCCTCTTCCTCAGCCTCATCAGAGAGGACTGCCTGTAGCTGTTTCCTGGGCACCAGTGTTCCTGAATCTGACGTCCCTATCACAAGTCAAGTCTAAAGACAGTCAGAGCCACAGGCCCCGGTGTCAGACTGCTGGGTTTACATAGTCATTTAATGCTGAATACTCATCACTGACTCTCAGCTTTGTTATCTGAAAGTAAGGGCAGAGAAGAAAGACCTGCTTCATGAAGCTGCTCCAAGTATATGCCTTGGCAGAGCTGGGCATGGAGTCGTTGTGCCTGTGGTCTTTTATTCAGGAGGCTGAGGCAGGAGAACCACTGGAGCCCAGGAACACCAAGTTAGCCTGGACAACATAGAATGTGACCCTTGGCAGTGGTGTGCTTCATGAACTCTGTGAACACATAGGCTGATCATCCTTCTCTGCCCTTGTATCTACCCACCTGGATCCTCTGTATTCACTAGTGGGCTCCCAGCAGCATCCGGGCATCAGGTCTGGGTCACAGCTCAGCTGCTCCTGTGCTTCACTTGTGCTATGCACTCTACAGGCCTGCCATGGCCCACAGAGCTGCTGGAGGAGGTGCTTGCCATCATGAAGCAGCATGAGAGGATCCTGGACATTCTGCTCAATACCTGCAACCTGCTGCTGCGTGTTCTGGGCCATGGTAGGCACCAGAATGGGTGGAGAAGCCCTACCCTCCTGGGTCCTCTGCCTCACCAGCTCCTCCAACTTCCCACCCATCCCTGGCATCTGCCTTTCCAATCTGTTGTACCCTTCTGTGCCTATGTGACTCCATCACAGAGTGATAGAGGGCATAATTAATGTCTGCATATACCAGATCTACATAGGGCCTGACCCAGTCAGCTGGGACCCTGGATAAGCTTGTCTCTCTCAACTATTCACCAGCTATGTTATAAGAGCTGGACAGGATGGTCTAGTGGGCTTTCCTGTCCAAGAGAGGTTTGGAGGGTGTGACTGCTGGGAGGGGACAGCAGTGCACTCAAGTCCTTAGTAGATGCCTCTGTCGCTGAGCTCCCCCAGCTCTCAGGAACAGGAAGAAAATCAGCTACATCTTTAAGCCTAGAGCATCTAGTTACTCTTTACTTTTTTAGTCTTAATACCGAGGGCCTAACCACCACACAGATTGTATCTTTTCTCAGGGGTGGGGGATAATCAAATCCAGGCCCTCTTGCATACTAGATAAGCACTCTACCACTAGGCAAGAGTCCATAAATACTTTATACTAAATGTTCATGCCCAATTATTGGGAAGGACCAGCAAGATCCTGAACTGGAACAAAATGTTATAAGCTTGTTGGTAAGCATGGCCCCCATATTTACAAAGACTTGCCCAGTGACTAGAGAATAGGCAGATCTGTTTTTTTAATTTGAAAAAGTAATGCTGTCCCCGCTAAGGAGGGAGGAAACTTGTCTACCTTAGAGCCCCAACTGTAGGGTTAACCCATGTTCTTTCTCTGGCCCAAACAGCACTGGCACAAGACTCAGAAGCTGAGATCCCAAGGGTTGATTCTATCATCTCCTTCCTGATGAATGCCTTGAGGAGCCACCCTGGCTCTGAGAGGCTCATCACCACAGTCTACAACCTGCTCACCATCATCTCCAGCCAAGGTGAGTGTGTGCTGGCCTTCTGCCCTTCCTTTCTGCTCTAAAAATTCAGGGACAGAACAGAGGCCTTGGCAGGAGAGGGGCTCATTCCTAAGATGGACAGACATACTATTGTCTGCTCTCAATGGCAGCCATGGGCACTACTTGGAAGCTGAGGACAATGGTCAAGAATCAGATGGCCACTGTCAGGTCAAGGCTAAGCACTGGGTCACTTCAGATCTTTGACCTCTCACACACACTAAGCCCACTTGGGTGAGAGAGGTATTAAAGGTAGGCATAAAATAGACCAGTCAGACAGACTAGGTGTTGCATTAGCCCACTGGGAAAAGGCAATGCTGGGGAAGGCTTCTTGGGTACCCTTCTTTCAAATGCTTGTGGCTGTCCACAGGGATGCTCACTGAAGAGCTGGAGGAACGGGGGTTGTTCAAGCTTATCCAAGAGCACCTAGAAAACTTCCAGGAGAACAGGAACATCTGCCTCGCTATCCTGAGCCTGCTCTGGTCCCTCCTGATAGATGGTGAGGCCCTCCCTCCACAAGCCCCACTGCATGAGACCTGCTAAAGCAGTGGCTCTCAACCTGTGAGTCGCAACCCCTTTGGGGGTCCAGCAATCCTTTCACCGAGGTGGCCATCAGAAAACAGATATTACATTATGATTTGTTAATAGTAGCAAAATTAGCTGTGAAATAGCAACACAAATAATTTTATGGTTGGGAGTAACCACAACACAAAGAACTGTATCAAAAGGTCACAGCATTAGGAAGGTTGATAACCACTGTGCTAGAGCCTTTGTATCAGCAGTTCTCAGTCTGTTGCAACCCACAGGTTGAGAACTGTTGCTCTATCCCTTAAGCACAGGAGGGCAACCCCAGCCCCTGTGAAGCTAGCACATGGCACAGGGAGACACAAGAGAGGTAAGTAAGAAAGGAAGGCCTTCAGGATGTCTTGTCCAATGAGTGAGTAGGCAGTCCCTGGCTTTAGAGGTCAGCCAGACTTGATGCTCTGTCCTGGTTTTTGGTTTAGGATGGGGTTTCGAGGCCTGTCCTTCCCCCTCTTCTAGATACTGTCTTGCCCTAGGAAAGAGGGCTCCAAGACATGGCAACCCCAGAAAACTGCAGAGATCCTGTTAACACAAGTGCAGAAAGTTCTCACCTCTACTGATGACTACTGCAGACTCTGGCACTGGAAAGCCAGTTCCCATTTCTGAAGACATCTGTTCCCTTGATTCTCCTCTGTTGTTCTTGGTGGGAGGGAGCAGTATGAAGGGGCACATATACAGCAGGTACTTCTGTTCATACCTGGCCTGGTGTCTCCCATCTTTGTCCTGGTTCTAGCTACCGATGTGGACAAAGAGCCCTTGAAGACGCTCTCAACCATGGTCACCTGGGTGCTAACCACGTATCCTGAAGACGTGGAAATAGCTGAGGCTGGCTGTGCTGTGCTCTGGCTGCTGTCCTTGTTGGGTGAGCAGCCTGAGGTCTTGGTAACAGGGAGGGTGAGCCTGGACACATAAGGCAACAAGGCTTGTGTTCTGCAGGCTGCATAAAGGAGAGTCAGTTTGAGCACGTGGTAGAGCTGTTCCTGAGAAGCATCCAGCTGTGCCCTCGCAGAGTATTGCTGGTGAACAATGCTTGTCGTGGCCTGGCTAGCCTTGCAAAGGTGTCCGGTAAGTCTGGGACAAGACAGGCTGCCACCATGGAGGTGGAACCAAAAGTTAGCTACCTCCAGTGATGTCCACCAAGTGACCATAAACTATAACAGGAAAAACCAGCCTTCAGGAAACACCACTGGGACATCTCTATTTTGGTGTTTTGGTACCACCTCCCCTCCAATACACACGTCTCACAGCTGTATGGATTTCCTACATATAGGTCTGTCTCCAAGTCCAGGCTTATGCCAGGTCTCACACTAAGCACTGGTACTATTGTCCTTTGTAGAGAACCCTGGGCCCAGGAACAAGCCATGGTCACCAGCAGTGAATGGCAGGGATGTTCCCATCCTTAGTCTGTAATGATCCCTCTCCCATGCTCCAGGAGCTGTCTTCTTGGTTTCACTCCTGGGTTCTACTCATGCCATTCTACTGGGCTACTCAAGCTGGTGGGTCCTCCTGGAAGCAGTTGGGGATCTTAGCTCCCCTGACTTATCCCTGACACCCTTATACAAAGCACCCTGTGGGGAGGGTTCAGCACCCCTGAACCCTGTTAACTGCTGCAGGGTGGGAGGGCCACCTACACAGGAGACCCTTCTCCACAGTGCTACACCACAGCTTCAGTTTTTCTAAGGGGAAGAGGAACCCAAGCGCTGTATTTCTCTTGGGTATGGGGCTTACTGCCAACAGGTGCAAAGATAAGCTGTACTCTACAGGTGCAGGACCAGATAAAATGGTACAATCATCTCTTCCAACAGTTTACACAGAGCAGGGGACAACCCTGACTTCAAGAGCTTCCTTCACAAAAGATTGGGATTCCTGGCCAAAGAGAGCTCTCCCAGCAACCCTACAACTATAGTGCTCCTTCCCAGGGACACTGGGCACAGGGAGCTGAGAAGGGCAGCTGCAAAGGGACTACACTAAATTGTACTAAAAACCCAAACTCCCTTGCCTCTCTCCCCCAGAACTGGTGGCCTTCCAAGTGGTGGTAATGGAAGAGGGCAGCAGTGGCCTTTACCTCCTCCAAGATATGTACCAGCTCTACAAGGATGACCCTGAGGTGGTTGAGAACCTCTGCATGCTGTTGGCCTACCTGGCTTCCTACAGTAAGGACCCTTTCCTTGTCCTCTCCCTGGCCGGAAGGGAAGGAGCCCCAGAGCCTGTTCTGAAACCCCTGTGACTTTCCACTCATTAATTCCAAGCAAAAGTGGCACTTGACCGACCTTATCTGGCTGGTGGGCAGGGATTCTGAGCCTCATCACCTTCTCTGCTCCACTGCAGAGGAGATCCTGCCAGAGCTGGAGTCTGCAGGCATCAAGGACCTAGTCCGTGTGATCCGGGGGCGGTTTACTTCTAGCCTGGTAAGTCATGGTGACATCCCTATCAAGCCAGAACACTTGAATGACACTGACCCAGAGCTCCATGTGATGCTTTTCCTCTACTCTCTTCCTGTGACTGGGCTGAATCCAATCCCAAGATAGAAGGGCAGTTAGACTATCCAGTTGGTGTTACGTCATCAACGTAATTGCTCCTGGACCCTGAAGCCACTGTAACAAATGGTTCACTTGTTTCCTCCTTCTAGGAGTTGATTTCTTATGCTGACACAGTACTTCAGGCACTGGAGGCAGCTGCATGTTCCAGGCCCCAGGAGAAGCAGCTTGAACCTGCTTCAGAGCTGGAAGCCCCCAAGGTTTCCTTCCCACATCAGGAAGATCCTATCTTCCAGCGCTGAGATGCTGCCCTTCTGATCCTGGAAAGTATCACCAGGACCAGTATTGTATTTTGCACTAATAAAGAAGCCCTAAGTTGTTCATGGCATGCCTGGCTGTGGTGTCAGTGGTCCTACACTGCAGGGCTTTGGGAAATTCTAGATGATGGGAAGAAGCTAAGCTTCCACAAACTCCATTTATCCATCCATTTATTTTTGACAGTGCTGGGACTGGGACCCAGGGTCTTGCACATAGTGGAAGAGTACCAAGTCACACCCCAGTCCACAGCTCCATTCTAAGAGTTGCCAGGTAGGTCCATAAAGTTAACTGGTCACTCCACACTTGTTGCTAGTAGATAGCAGGCAGACAGCCTTTCTGTTCACAGTGCCCCAGGCAGTAGGATCTTACACCTCTGGGTATACCTGCGCCCCAAGTCTCATCCCAAGGACAGTGTGGAGAACACCATGCTGGATGTTGGCATTTTAGGTGAATCTGGACCAAGCAAAGGACATAGGAGTGAGAAAGTACCTCCAGCACAGTAGCTTTAAGAAAGTCCTCACTGGGCAGCTGCTGTATTAGACAGATTGGTTTGCAGCAGACTGAAGGCCCTTAGCCTGGATCCCTTAAGTGCAGCAGTACTTGTCCCATTACCCACAAGAGAAGACATTTGGTCTCCTTAGGGGAAGGTGCTGAGTGCCCTGGCTGAATCCAGCTGTGTTCATTGTTAAGTGGTAGTACAGATGGTCAGCAAACATAGACACTGCAGAACATTCATCCATTCCAATGCTCTCCTTCCTGTAAACCTACATCACACCCCTGATTTCTGTCCTGGTATCTGACTAGTCTACCTCAACACACAGGTGCAGGACCAGGCCCTGGTAGCAGAGTCCAGGAGGAAGAAGTTCCAGTGGCTCACATGACACCCTTTGCAGCCATGGCTCTGAAAATGCTCACCAGAGTGAGTCCCTGTTGTGCGGAGACCTGAAGGGCCTCCGTGACCCCATCACAACTGTCACTGGATTGAAGAGTCACTGAAGGATGGGGGTGGGGTGGGTGACAGCAGTAGGTTGGTGCTAAGCGTACTCGCTGCAGCGGTTTGGGGTGGTGGTGGCTGGGGGGCGCCGGTCTGCAGCAATGCTCTCCCACTCCCGTTTTGCCATGATGTAAAGCCTCATCGCTGCCTGGGCATCCTGGACCTGGGTGACACACAGCAATGTTGACTATCCAGCTAGTGAGAACACATGGCCACAGGCCACAGAAGCAACCCTATGACTACCAAGTCTTCACAATAGCCACAACACTGAGGCTGCAAGGCCAAGAGAGGCGCATGCCTCATGAGGTGACTATGGTAAGGCAGTGAAGGAGAAAACCATGAAAAATGGCTGGGCCATCAGAGCACAAGTTAACTCCTGTGCTTCAGACTCAGCCATTCTGTTTACAGCGACAGAAGGGGAAATCCTACAGCAGCAGGAAGCTGGAGCTTTACAGCAGACACAGCTGAGATAGGCACAAGGGCTCAAAGAGTTAGAGCCTGTACTTCAGGGGAACCTGCTCTCCAGAAAAAGACTTCCTGGCCAAAGGGTGGGAGTGGGAGGAGCTGTTGGGACTGAGAGCCTAGGGCCATAAAGTCCTAAAGCACCTGTTAGGGTTTGGAAAGGCTGTCTCCCATGGCTCAAGTGACGGAGCCATAAGTCTGCAGCATGGCATTATAGGGGTAATGGGACCTTTCAGGGTTGGGGCCTAATGTGGGGGTACCAAAGGGTCCTAGAAACACATGAGGTAATTCTTGGGACACCAGTTAGTTCTGCCAAGAGTGAACTGTTGCTCCTCCCTCCTTGGCATCTCTCTGATCAGCTAAGCCTCATTACCATGAAGTCCCCGACCTCAGGTATTTAGTAAAAAACTATTTAAGTATACTAATAGCCTTCAATTAGACTGGTGAATTTGGATCCAGGTCAGTATATTATTTTTTGAATTGAGTTCAAGTTAAATGTATATATTTAAGATATAGTCAACATTTTTGTAAGTCTGATATACCTAGGATCCTCTCTTCTGTGTCTACTGTCAGTGACACATGCCTAGTTATTACAGTCAGGGGCTGTTACCCAATGATACTTACCGAACAATGCTCTGCCTGCTGGACCCTGATCCCCAGAATTTTCTCAGAAAGTTGTTTCAGAGATGGCTTTCCACTCTGTAGAGAAAAGGTGCACACAGCTGAATGTGCTGCTTTCACAGGCTCTGCCAAGGAGGACAGGGCTGGCTACTGAGCACACCTAAGTTACCTTCAGTTTCCCTTTCACCAGGAGTATCTGTAACACTAAGGGCTGCAACAATTAGCCTGCTATGGCTTATGACATTGCTTATCAGCCAATAAAGGAGGAGTTGGAGGCTGGAGATCTACCAATTGGTAGAGTGCTTTTAATTTTTCAATTTTTATTAGTGATATATAGGTATGTCTATCTGCATATGGGTATGTGCATATACATGCAGAAAAGGCTAGAGGTTATAGATGACTGTGAATCACCTGACATGGGCACTAAGAATTTAACCCATGTTTTCTACAAGAGTAGCAAGTGCCCTTAACTACTGAGCCACGTCTGAGGAAACCTTGTGGAGCTGGTTCTCTCTTGCCTTCATGTGGGTTCCAGGGATCAAACTCAGGTTGCCAGACTTATGCAGCAAGCACTCTTAAAGGTTAAAATGAGAAACCAAAACAAATTAAACCCCTCTAGTTATGGGGTCAGTGCCAGGGACTAGCCACAGTTCAAGACTCATTCATTACATACCCTTACTTGACTTCTGAAAGGTTTGAATTTTTGGGTATCCCTGATTTTCTTCTTTGGATGATCAAGGAACAGAACCTAGAAGAAAATGATGACAAGTATATTCATTTCAGCTTACAGTAGTGGAGCCCCTTTTCCAAAGAACATCTCACAGCACGTCAGAGGATATAATACTTAGAAAAAGGCAGAGCTTCTCAAATTAATCACTCTTACTTAAGGTGATGCCCAATATTAATAAAAATCTTGGCCATATGTGGTACATACTTTTAATCCTAGCACTCTGGAGGTGGATCAAAAAATGGATAGGATAGGACAGGACAGGACAGGACAGGACAGGACAGGACAGGATATAGGATATGAGACAGGACAGGATAGGAGCTAGGACAAGGACAAGGACTAGGAATAATAATAGGAATAAGAATAGGATAGAATCTTAACATCAAGGTGTTGAGAAAAAGTTAATGAACCTGAAACGACCTTCTCTATCTGAGCCAATTCTGTTCATGGGGAGGAAAGAAATGAAAGTTAGCAGCTTACCCTGCAACTTAGACTTCTAGACTCACACAGCCCAAAAAAGTAACCTACTAGAGGAAGCAAGTGTGGCCTGGTGACAGTCTTCTCTAAGGTGATTCAACATATCAGTAGGCAGGTGACTTTAGTTAAATTTTTTTTTTTTTTTTAAGATTTATTTATTATATGCAGTGTTCTGTCTGCATGTATGCCTTCAGGCCAGAAGAGGACACCTCATTACAGATGGTCATGAGCCACCATATGGTTGCTGAGAATTGAACTCAGGACTTTAGGAAAAGCAGGCAGTGCTCTTAACCTCTGAGCCATCTTTCCAGCCCGACTTTAGTTAATTTTTAATTGTTAACATATTATTTTCATCTTTTTGGTGGTGGGATGAGACTCAGGGCCTTATACATACAAAGCGTGCACTCTGCCACCACGCTACAACCCTATCCCACACATTAGAATGGGAATTAAACTCCCATTTAGAGATTCCTGAAACACATGAATAAAGTGACACCACAGTTCATACCCAGGAAGGACAATGTCCACTGTTTAATCAGCGGGCATCTAAAAAGGCAGAAGCTAGAGGTCAGATGCTCCAGCGTTGGGTGGAGTTCTCTGAGCTCAATCACCTAACTAGCTGATAATTGGCCAGCCTTCAAAGGAAGTGACTAGCTGGAATGAATGCCTTGAGAAAACACATGCCCATCCAGTTCCTGACCCCCAGGAACAGCTGAAATAGCAGCAGCAACAGTCAGCTCTGCCAGCTTGGTGTGCTGAGGATCAGTGGGGGAGGTATCTTGAGTGCATACCCACTGCTCTCCTGGAGCCTTCTCCCAACACCCTAAAACTCATTTCTGCCACCCACAGGCCTATTCCTCATCTCCAAAGGATTAAACAAGATTTGTTTATACTATGTAATTGCTGGTGCCCCCCACTAAGGCACTGATGCTTGGCATTAGAAGTCCATCACACCAGATGGCAGCAGAGGTGTCCCTTCTATCAAGTAGGTTATGCTCAAATGGATCAGACAGCAGTTTACTTGTGAACTTAAAGTGACCTATGTAATAAACCCAGGCTAGGTCTTCCTCAGATGCCAGGGGAGAACAGGAGGCTGGACTTCCAGCATCACAGCAATGCCTAGATATAAAATGGACATACAACAAGAACTCTAGGGCTTTGACAGTGTAGAGAAATTTGTCTCTGGTCATCAGGCCCTCTGCCATATCAGATAGGTGACACTCAAAGCTCCCTACATAGAGCTGTCAGGACCCTGGCACTGGAACCACAGTATAGTCAGGACTCTAAAAACAAGTACCTAATGTGTTCTCTTGAACACAGCCAAAGCTCAGGTACCTGATACTATTCCTAAAGAATTTCCAAGTCAAGATAAAAATTCAAAATGAAAAATCCCCCATAGTGTTGCTTCTAAAGACAGGCATGTGAGGTTGTGTGTAGCTCACATGAAAGAGCTATGATCCCAAGCCCAGCACCTCTATTATTTATTTATTATTATTATTTTTTTCTTCGAAACAGGGTTTCCCTGTGTAACAGCTGGTCTCGAACTCACAGAGCTCCGCCTGCCTCTGCCTCCCAAGTGCTGGGATTAAAGGTGTGCACCACCACCGCCCGGCTGCCCAGCACCTTTAAATCATTGTGCAGCGCGTGCCCAACCAGGGTTCTGCCCTTCAACATTTCTGCCACTTCCTTCTTCACGACTTCAAATTCTTCTCCTGAAAACCAAACAAAGACATGGTTAACAACACATAACTCACCAAGATTCTAAGGAAGTTCCTCCCATTCCCTGGCCAGGCTGATGACAACAGGTCAGGCCCTTAATGATACACAAGCTTTGATGGAAGATAGGCCCCTAGAAGTGTCTCACTGGACCCCAGGGAAGTGCAAAGGCTAGGAGGGACCCACTGTGCCTTGTGCTCTGCTCCCACTTCTAGGGACAGTTTAAAAAAAAAAAAAAAAAAAGACAAGTTCTACTCAAAGCCAATCACTATCAGTGGACTGGCAGCAGTTAGCAAACCCCAGGAGACGCACAAGAACATTTAAGACTTCTCAGGAACACCTGACAATATGCTTCCCACTCAATACAACTCATATTTAGGACTTCCCAAGTGGACTCAGACTGGATCTCTCCCACAGACAGTGCAAGGAGGGCTGCATGGACCCTAGAGTCTGCTCTACTGCTCTTTCCCAGCAGACACCCTTTGGGGATCACTGCCCCCACTCCTACCAAATCCACTTCACTGTCCAACTTTGTTCAGAGCTAATAGGACCAGCCTCCCTTCTGAGATAGAAAGCAAGAGTTGCTGGTCAGCCTGTGGTTCAAGGAGCAACAGAGCCACCTTGCTGGCCATGGATACCAAGATAAACAAACAGGGAGTGTGCAGGGAGGACTGGGGGAGAGATCACAAGGTTGCATCTCTAGTGGTCTCCAGGTCTCTCAAATCTCCAGTCTCTGCTATGTCTTCCAGCAACCTAGCCCTATCCAACCCCTGCCTCAGTGTAGTAATATCTTGCTTGTACAAATAAAGCCTGTCAGAGGGTCAGAGAATGGAGCTTGCCATTGGCTAACCATAGAGGTCTGGAGGTCTGTACAGACAGACAGTGAGGTAGCTGGGCAGAATCAGGATATAAGCAGGGAGAAACAAGAAATCACTACTCTCTTGTCTGCTGAGACGGTAAGGAGGTAAGGTACGCTGTGGCTTGTTCCTTCTCTCTGATCTCTCAGCATTTCCCTCTATATCTGACTCTGGCTTTTTATTATCTAGACCAATTAAGAACTCCATTTACACCTCAGAACCAGTTTTCTGACTTCCAACCCTATTCTGAATGTCATGACCAAGGATCCTGCTGGACACCTCAATGCTAACACTGTAATAGTTTCCCACCCTGTGATCTGTCCCCCAGTTCCCACCATGTGACCTACTCACCCTTCATGGCTTCCTTCCTAGTCCCTAACACACTCCATTTTATCCCTCACTGCCATAAAACAGAAAGCAATCCAAGAGCACTGCCCTGGGTAGGAGGCAAACACAGGACACAACACAACAGTCAGGAAAGGTACCTTTTGAATCCGCAAGTATGCTACTCTAGGGAAGAGGTAAGAAATGCCAGGACCTCTGTCATGCCTTATTCCAGAACTCAAAAGGGGAAGAAGGAGAGAAATGAGTCCTGCTATCATCCCCATTACTAAACTCAAATCCTACAGGCATCATACCCTGCTTCAGGTTCTCAGGCCGTATCCCACTGACTGCTGTCCTGTAGTCTGTCACCGGCTCAGTTGGCTTGACGTACTTGTCATAAACACATTTCCCATACTGGTTCACGATGGACACACGGGCTGCGATGCTCTCTTCCCCCTTGGGGCCCACGCCTACCATCTCACAATCCAGGGCCAAGGCTTTTGTCAGGCTGAGGGGAACCAAAGGCCCCAGTATAATAAATATCACAGGCTGGGATTCTAGGCCAGTGAGCCAAGCCCATTCATCACCATTTTGCAACCCTAAGACCTGCTGGGCAGTCATGGCTCAATGCTCCCTTCTCCTCCCGAGAGATTCCAGCCCCAGAAGGCAGAGCATTCCCAGCAGTCATGGCCCAAGCACAGCTTACCCGCCAAAGGCCTGTTCCTTCACCAGGGAGATGGTACTCTTGCTCTTCTGTCCCAGCCGCTTCCGTACCAGCATGGCTGCCTCTGGGCCTATGGCAGCCTCAATATCATCTGGATCCACATCATCAAACCAGATGTCTTCCCTGTGAGGCAAAGATGAGAGTACCTAGCTGTGAAAAGACATGGGGCACTGGATGCCTATTCAAAGAATCTCTCTGCCCAGTTGGTAGGCTGTGAGGAGCAGGAAGGCTGGCAGTGAGAGGGCAGCACCATGAGGGCTGCAGGACTATTTCCCCTGCACACACTGTCCAGCTGAACCTGCTGCTGCACTTCCCTTTTACTGCTGTTCTTTCTTTCCTTGACTATTTTATTCGTATAGGTGTTTTTCCTGCAAGTATTACTTGCATACCTGGTGCCTGTGATGGCCAGAAAAGGGCATGCATGGGATCCCCTGGAATTGGAGTTACAGAAGGTTGTGTGCTTCCATGTGGGAATCCAAGCCTCTGAAACAGCAGCTAGTGCTCTTAACCACTGAGCCATCTTTTCAGCCCCTCACCGCTGTTCTTTTAAATTTGCAAATATACCTATTATCCAAGACTTAGGAACTACAGATAAAAACAACAAATGTAAAACAGAAACATGTGACTCACCAGTAGAAGGACCACTAACATTTTCTAATTAAACAATAGATGTGCTATCAAGACACACAGGTAGGAGGACTGCATGACAGATAGGGACATATGCCTTGCACTGTCTTCACATTTTGCAAGAGTGAGAAAGACAATTGATAGTGGATGCTCCACGGCTATTTTGTAAACTCCAGCTTTTTAGCCTGATTTCAATGTCATTACTCAAAAGTGCTCAACTGACAGGCTTCCTGTTTTGTGTTCTTTGCCTTCTTCACTAGGCTACCCTGACCACCCCCTTACAAATGCTCAGGTAAACATCTATGTGCCTCCCCTGCTTATATTAGCCTTAGGAAAGACGCCTATGTTGCCCGTCTAGGTCAGCCTGCCTATATGACTCAGAAGAGACAGCCAAGCCCACATCCCTTTACCCTTCAGTACTATGTCCTGTAGTCTGTCAGGGGCTGTTAGCTTGACTTGACAAAGCTTTCATAAATACATTTCCTTCTTCTGGTTCCCAAGGAGATGCTTTTGTTTAGGCTAAAGGGAAGGGAAGGGAAGGCTCAGATAGCAGGAGCCAGCTTGCCTTATAAGCATATCCATTCCAAGAGAAGTGTCACTACAGTGCTCATTAAGTAGCCAAAAGACACTAAGCAACACATGCTGCACCTCAGTCCCCCTAATTATATAGAAGGACACACTGAGAAAGAAACCAGCCCAAAGTCATCAACTGGCAAGAGGCAGGACTGGGTTTCACATGACTCATTCTGGTTCCAGCCTACATTATGCCAAAGTTCTTGCTCGAATTTACCTTATGCCAAGCTCTATGTTGGGGTCCAAGGACACCACACTGACTGTACAATAGAGTCTGCCTTCAGCAACCCACACTCTAGGGGAAACACGTGACAAGAGAACAACAAAACAAACACCATAGTGTCAGGTGAGGAAGACTGCACCAGGGCCGAATGGTCATTTCTTCTTATCGGTGAAGACAGTGGAGGCTAGATGCACATTAAGGACCATCTGAATCTGTGGCCCAGGCAGCAAAGGACATACTAGTCACCACAGCAGAGTTGATACTCACTCAGTAGGTGAGGACTGATTCAAGACGACAGCTACCTCCTTAGCTTTCCATTTATGCTTGATGTCCTCCTGATGAGAAGCGTTGTCACTAAATGTCCTCTTCTGGGCACTTTTCTTCTGTTCTGGTCCAGAGGAATTTGTGGGAGGTACAGGTCTCTTCCTGTCCTTCTTAGACAGAGCGGTAACAGAACCCTTAATGGTCTGGTCTTTTTCTGTCCTCTTCCCATCTCCCTTTGCTTTATCTGAAGTCTCTTTTTTGTTCTGCTGGATTATTTGGGGATGCATTTTGTCATCCATCTGAGAGACAAGAAGTTTTTCTGGAGCTTGTGACTTCTGTTTCAGCAGCTAATGGGATCAGAATTAAATACAAGCCACATTTCAATTCTGAACTGACATACCAGATTAAAGAAACTTGTATGCAAATGTATCTACCATCCACATACACACCTCCAGTCACCATCCCCAATAGGAAATTATTTGGGAAAGCATTTTAAAAATTTATTTTTATATGCATGGGTGTTTTGCTTGCATGTGTCTGTGCACCAAATGCATGCCTGGTGCCCAAAGAGGACAGAAGAGGACATTGGATCCCCTACAACTAAAATCACAGACAGTTGTAATCACCATATGGATGCCAGAAATGAAACCAGGATCCTCTGGAAGAGTATCCACATTCTTGATTACTAAGCCATCTCTCCAGCCCCTGGAAAAGCCTGGTTTACTGGCATTGAGATTCCTTTCCTCTGCTTATTACAATGCATAACCCAGCAATGCTGCTTTTGCACTCTGCATTTCAAGCTCTATACCATGTGTACCCGAGTGACTGAATACACCAGAGCACTTCATTAAGCCTGGGGCAGGAGCATCATTTTCACTTCTTTCATAAGAAGTTGCATTTAGAGTGATTCATGGTCAACACTCAAGGACACAATGAACACCTCCTTTACACTGTCTCTGGAGGTTGGCTACACCTCAGGGTCTGAGGAAGACCCAAGGGAAGGGAGTTCAATGGAAAGAAAGAAATCATGTCAAACCATAGATGGTTTGATGGGAGATGTCCTTCTGTATATATGTTTCTCTTATTGGTTGATGAATAAAACACTGTTTGGTAGATAGAGGCAGGAAGATAGGCGGGGCTAGGAGACAAGGAGAATTCTGGCAAAGGTAGGCAGAGAAGCACTGGAAAGGCTCGCCATGTAGCAGAGGAAGGGGAACAGGTCCGGACCATTCTCCGGTAAGATAAGACCACGTGGAAATACTTAGATTAATGGAAATAGACAGAGCTAGCCAGTAAGAAGCCTTAGCCATCGGCCAACAGTTTTATAATTAATATAGCATCTGTGTGTTTACTTAGGTCTGTTTACTCAGACCTTGCAGGAAGAAACCCCATAACAACGGATGGTGAGAAGAGCCATAGCTTTGATCTTATCCAGGCAGAGGCTAGGAGAGCAATTTCTTCTGTGTATTCAAATCCCCAATTAAGACCACAGCAAGATGGTAAACAACTGAGATGATACAATGGGTTTAAGATTCTTGTAGAAACCAGAGCCAACTCAAAGTTCCCTATAGTAAATATGCATTCCACACATTTAATTTTACTTTATCTTAGGAGAAAAAAACAAGAACTGGCTTACAGAACTGTCCACAGGGTTTGGCTGGTCCTGTGTGTCCAGACAGGAAAATCCACACAAAGGAACAAGGTGGAGTGCTATGGACCTCAAGAATGTCTGTACTCTTTCTTATTAACTGAGGCTCCATAGCATACACTCCAGAGGAATACCTGTAGTTTAACAGATCAAAACGCATGGCCAGTAACCCAGTTCTGCTGTTTATATGCTATGCTCTCTGTCTCAATTTCCCCATCTAAGAAACAAGGACAGTAAAAGCACCTCACAAGAATGTAAAAATGTATGAGTGAGGGTTGATATAGTGGTTCACACCAGTCATCCCAGCATTTGGGAGGCTACCTAACATAGGAGGACTACCACTAGTGCAGGAAAACCCTGAGCTACACAAGTTCCAGAGTAGTCGGGGCCAGAGTTCTGGGATATAGTTTAAGACGTTGGCAGGGTAGCAACCAAGATATGGGATTTATGATTGAAAAAATAATAATTTGAGTAAAGCAAAGAGCAACTTGTATAGTATATAGAAGCATCGGCCACTACTAAAATTGTCAAAAGGCCAGACAGCCACAACTGCACTACTGCCGTGCCTACAAGGCCGATGTTCCTGTGAAGGAGTCTGCGCAATGTGGAGCGGCCAGCCCTTCCACGTTTTGGAATCACCCACAGTTCTCCTTCGTGGTCTGTGGCTACCCGACCAAAAGTCTGGGATGAAGGTGGCCTGTCGCCAGTCTCACCTCTTGCAGCGCCTTCCAATTTTGAGAAAAGTTCTCTGGGGCCTTTGGCGGTCGGACTGCGACAGCTGCTGGGAGGCTTCCCGGGGCCACGCTTCCTCCCTGCGCTTTGCTCTTCCTGAACCTCTTCCTGGCTTTCTTCCGAACGAGCTCCTTGATAGGCTCAGGTTGGGAAACCGGCGCCGTGGCCTTCGCCTTCATCTTGTCGTTCTCAGCAGCCCGACCCAGGAGGGAAGAGACTCGAACTCAGTGGCGACGGCGGAAGCACACCCGCAAAAGTACCTCCACAGCGCTTGAGGAAGCCCGGATAGCGCTTCTCTTCGCAATCTGCTGGAAACCGAGTCTGCACCTCTGGTTCCGCACGCATGGGAAGTGGGCAACAGGTCCGCCAGTTAACACCATACAGGCTGCCGGCTCTGGTGAGTGGCGCCGCGGCTGAGGACCCAGAGTTTGACAGAAGGGACCCCAGGCCTTTACCAAAATTAGGAGTCATCAGAGGGCGGGAATGATGAGAAGCAGCGACACCGGAAAAGACTTGGAGGACCACTCCTGGTGTGGCACCGCGCGGGAGGCCGGAAGGAGCTCGGGCGGAGCTTTTGAGGGTTGCACAGCCAGACCGCATTGCTAGTCCTGTTTACCGAATCTTACGGCTGCGTGGCAAGCCAGTTATTTTTGACAGCAATGATAAAACAAGATTTTAATTGTGAAAATGTACATATATTTTTCTTAACCTCCGCCTTAATAAATGACCAGCAATCCATGCTTGACCCTTAATTTACACAGATGAGGCCTCCACCTTCGTTCGTTTGAGAAGTACAGCAAGTCCACAGGCCACTTAGGAAGGTCAGGGAGACACTTGGTGGAGGTGGTGAGAACCCCTGTGCCAAACATGTTTGGCATCCCTCTCTACTTAAGTTAAAGACCCAAGGAATCCAGATGAGTTCAATGACTAGGAGAGAAACGAAGTTTTGTAAATTGCAAATTTAGCACTTGCATAGTTATCCGTGGTAGTTCGAGATCTAGAATCGAAGTGGGTATTTTTCCCCTCTCAAGGTACTGTCTGCTTAGAACACAATCACATTTCATGATTACTCATTTCTTATTACAGAATGTCCTCTGGGTATGACCTCTTGGTAGTAACCAAACCTTTCATTTATTGAGCATTCACTGCGTGACAATTGCTTTTACACACTTTGATTTATGTAATTTCAACAATACATGAAGTGGTGCTTTTTAAAATTTAAATTAGAAACAAGCTCCTTTTACATGTCAATCTCAGTTCCCTCTCCCTCCCCTGCCCCCCACTGATCCCCAATCCCAACCCTATTCTACTCCCCAGGGGGTGTGAGGCCTTCCATGGGGGATCTTCAAAATCTGTCATATTTGGAGCAGGACCTAGACCCTCCCAGTGTATCTAGGCTGAGAGAGTATCCCTCTATGTGGAGAGGGCTCCCAAAGTCCATTCCTGTACTAGGGATAAATAATGATCCATTACCAGAGGCCCCACAGATTAACCAGACCTCCAAACTGAAATCCTCATTCAGGGAGTCTGGAACAGTCCCATTCTGGTTTCCCAGCTATCAGTCTGGGGTCCATGAACAACCCCTTGTTCAGGTCAGCTGTTTCTGTGGGTTTCTCCAGCCTGGTCTTTACCCCTTTGCTCATCACGCCTCCCTCTCTGCAACTGGATTCCAGAGTTCAGCTCATGTGTAGCTGTGAGTGTCTGCTTCTGCTTCCACCAGCTACTGGATGAGGCACTTTTTTTTTTTTTTTTTTTGAGCCGGGGTTTTTGGGTTTTTACTATGTAGCTCAACTGGGCTGGAACTTGCTTGTAGATCAGGTTAGCATAGATCTGCCTGTCTTTATCTCCCAAGTGCTGGAATTAAAGGTGTGTGCTACCACGCACCTTCAAAATGTCTGTTTTTGTTTTGTTTTGTTTTTTTGGTTTTTTTGGTTTTTCGAGACAGAGTTTCTCTGTGTGGCTTTGGAGCGGATCCTGGTCCTCGCTCTGGAGACCAGGCTGGCCTCGAACTCACAGAGATCTGCCTGCCTCTGCCTCCTGAGTGCTGGGATTAAAGGCGTGGCGCCACCAACGCCCAGCCAAAAATGTCTGTTTTAATACTAACTTTTACTGATGGAAAAATAGGTCAGAAAAATCTAAGTAATTTGTTCAAGGTCACATAGTTACTATGGTGGAGCTAGGATTTATTTATTTCCAATTTTCTGTTGGTGCTATCAAACCCAAGGTTTTACACATACTACTCAAGTACTCCCTCTACCTTTATACTTTCATCCTAGGAACTGGGATTTTAATTAATTTGTTGAGTTCTGTGGCCTGTAATGTCAATATTCATGCTATTTCCTTCTTTAATTTTTTCATGCAATACAATTTTGATTATTGTTCCTTCCATCACCTCTTTCCATATCCTCCCCCTTCTCACTCTGCACCCAGCTGCAGGTTCTTTCTCCCTCCCCTGTCTCTCACCAGAACTAAAATCAAAATAAATGCAAATGACAAAACAAAACAAAAAGCCCACGGAAAACCCCATGGAGTCTGTTTTATGTGGCCAACTGCTCCTGGACATTGAGCCTGTCCTGGAGTATGATTAATATACCTAATGACGTTCCACTGAAGAAAACTTACCTTACCTTTCCCAGCAAGTTAACAATCACAAATGACTTCCTGGTTAGGGGTGGGACTTTGTGTCTACTTCCTCCTTGTCATGAAAGGCCCGCTGCCTCTCTGTCCCCCG